AATGCACGTGAAATGAAATGAAATGAAATGCATGTGAAATGAAATGCATGTGAAATAAAATGAAATGCACGTGAAATGAAATGAAATGCATGTGAAATGAAATGCATGTGAAATGAAATGAAATGCATGTGAAATAAAATGAAATGCACGTGAAATGAAATGAAATGCATGTGAAATGAAATGCATGTGAAATAAAATGCATGTGAAATAAAATGAAATGCAAGTGAAATGAAATGAAATGCAAGTGAAATAATAATAAAATGCAAGTGAAATGGAATGAAATGCATGAGAAGTGAAAATATTGCCGCCAATTCATTAAATGAAATTACGCCAAAAACCAAAAAGTTAGAAACCGGAAAATATTAGAAATTCACTTGGCCTTCATTAGCCGAAAAGGCCCCGAGCGCGTAAACAAAATGTAACGTCATAAAATTAAAATAGGATTTCGATTTTCGCCGATATTTTCAACTTGAAAACCTATTGTTGAAAACTAAATGTCGCCACCACAGGTATAACTTCGAGAACCAAAGCTGAAATATATATTGTTATTACTTACCGCCAATTCATCAACTGAAATTACGTCAAAAAAAAACACAATTCTAGACTCCAATAACTATTTGAAATTCAGTTGCCACAGACCCTCTTCGCGACGATAACAACACACGCTAAAAACGCAAAGGCACATGGGTAGATGCTTGTTTGTAAACAATGACACGTTATGGCCACCTGACGCACGCTTTAAGCTCACTGCGAGATTCCTGTCATTTGTGATTCAACTAAGCCAACCAAATTAAGCCATTTGATAAAAAAAATCCTAGATTATTTGTTCATACATTTAGTTACATTTATTCTTTCCTGGGCTGTACATATATATGCCATTTTGATAGAATGCTTATATTGTAGTATGGTTTATTTAGTACAAACAAAGCAATGTAGGCAAATATTCTTTTTTAATACTATAACGAAGACGAAATCTTTTCCTCAAACGCGTCCAGCGTGATAAAAGTAATGAACAGACCGCACCACCAAGTACCCTTATTAGGATAGTTAGTCTATTAACCAGATTTGTAATTCGATCCTGAATTTCAAACTCCTATTGATACCACTTTGTACATAACATACATGTACATTATGTTCCTAATGACTGATCATTAGACTGATCATTAGACAATGTATTTCCGACAATGATCACAATGTTAAAGCAATATTAATTAAAAAAAAAAACGAACTTAGAATTAAAATTATATTCATCGAGTCACTTTGGTTGCATATGTCTGATCATAAAATATCATGAACGTGTTGTTTATTATTACATACCTATGTGTATACTGTTATGAACCAATTGTTTTTATTATTAATTCGATATAGGTGCCAGTCATGGCAAGGTTGCTGGCGGTAAAACTATTGTTTGTGAAGCTATCTCGTTATTATATTTATTGTTCATACACGAGATGTTGAACACGCATATATTTTGTAATTTCAGCTTCGTTTGTGGAGTAAGATTCCTCGGGAAATGACAGGATACAGAATCTAATTGAAAGTTAAACAGATTTATTCAAACACTAATACAGTCATGACAATGATCGACTTTTATATATTGATAATTCGGGCGGAAATAGTATCAATTATATTGTTATAATTGGTCGTTTAAGATGATTGGCTACTTTTTACATCCGGTCGTATTTGATTGGTTACATAGTTGATGTATGATTGGACGAAAGGTCAAGGGTCATTGTTTGTAATTGGTCTTATA